TGTATGAGAATGCAACTGATTTCTGTACATTGATTTTGTATCCTGTAACTTTGCTAAATTCACGTATCAGTTCTAGCAGACTTTTGGTGGAGTCTATCGGATTTTCCATGTATAATACCCTGTCATCTGCAAAAAGTGAAAGCTTGACTTCATCTTTGCCAATTTTGATGTCTTTGATTTCCTTTTGTTGTCTGATTGTTGACGCTAGAACTTCCTGCACTATGTTAAACAGCGGTGAGAGTGGACATCCCTGTTGTGTTCCTGATCTCAGGGAAAAAGCTCTCAGTTTTTCCCCATTGAGGATGATGTTAGCTGTGGGCTTTTCATAAATAGCATTTATGATCTTTAAGTATGTTCCTTCTATCCCGACTTTCTCGAGGGTTTTTATTAAGAAAGTTTGCTGAATTTTGCCAAATGCCTTTTCTGCATCGATTGAAAGGATCATATGGTTCATTTCTTTTATTTATGTGATGTATCACATTGGTTTGTGAATGTTGAACCAGCCCTGCATCCCAGGAATGAATCCCACTTGATCATGGTGAATAATTCTTTTTATATGTTGTTGAATTCGATTTGCTGGTATCTTATAGAGAATTTTTGCATCCATATTCATCAGGGATATTGGCCTGTAGTCTCTTTTTCTACTGGGTCTCTGTCTGGTTTAGGAATCAAAGTAATACTAGCTTCATAGAATGAGTCTGGAAGTTTTCCTTCCCTTTCTGTTTCTTGAAACAGCTTGAGGATAGGTATTATCTCTGCTTTAAATGTCATAGAACTCCCCCGGGAAGCCGTCTGGTCCTGGACTCTTATTTGTTGGGAGATTTTTGATAACGGATTCAATTTCTTCATTGCTTTCTATTTCCTCCTGATTGATTTTTGGAAGAGTGTGGGTGTTTAGGAATTTGTCCATTTCTTCCAGGTTGTCCAATTTGTTGGCATATAATTTTTCATAGTATTCCCTGATAATTGCTTGTATCTCTGAGGGATTGGTCTTAATAATTCCATTTTCATTCATGATTTTATCTATTTGGGCCATCTCCCTTTTCTTTTTGAGAAGCCTGGCTAGAGGTTTATCAATTTTGTTTATTTTTTCAAAAAACCAACTCTTGGTTTCATTGATCTGCTCTACAGCTTTTTTAGGTTCTATATTGTGTATTTCTGCTCTGATATTTATTATTTCTCCTCTTCTGCTGGGTTTGGGGTGTCTTTGCTGTTCTGCTTCTATTTCCTTTAAGTGTGCTGTTAGATTTTGTATCTGGTATTTTTCTTGTTTCTTGAGATAGGCCTGGATTGCAATGTATTTTCCTTTCAGGACTGCCTTCGCTGCATCCCAAAGCATTTGGATTGTTGTATTTTCATTTTCGTTTCCATATATTTTTTAATTTCTTCTCTAATTGCCTGGTTGACCCATTCATTCTTTAGTAGGGTGTTCTTTAACCTCCATGCTTTTGGAGGTTTTCCAGACTCTTTCCTGTGGTTGATTTCAAGCTTCATAGCATTGTGGTCTGAAAGTATGAATGGTATGATCTCAATTCTTGTATACTTATGAAGGGCTGTTTTGTGACCCAGTATGTGATCTATCTTGGGGAACGTTCCATGTGCACTCGAGAAGAAAGTATATTCTGTTGCTTTGGGATGCAGAGTTCTGAATATATCTGTCAAGTCCATCTGATCCAATGTATCATTCAGAGCCCTTGTTTCTTTATTGATTGTGTGTCTAGATGATCTATTCATTTCTGTAAGTGGAGTGTTAAAGTCCCCTGCAATTACCCCATTCTATCAATAAGGTTGTTTATGTTTGCGAGTAATTGTTTTATATATTTGGGGGCTCCTGTATTTGGTGCATAGACATTTATAATTGTTAGCTCTCCCTGAGGGATAGATCCTGTAATTATCATATAATGCCCTCCTTCATCTCTTGTTACAGCCTTTAATTTAAACTCTAGTTTGTCTGATATAAGTATGGCTACTCCAGCTTTCTTTTGACTTCCAGTAGCATGATTAATAGCTCTCCATCCCCTCACTTTCAATCTGAAGGTGTCCTAGGTCTAAAATGAGTCTCTTGTAGACAGCAAATAGATGGGTCTTGTTTTTTTATCCATTCTGATACCCTATGTCTTTTGGTTGGCACATTTAGTCCATTTACGTTCAGTGTTATTATAGAAAGATATGGGTTTAGAGTCATTGTGATGTCTGTAGGTTTCATGCTTGTAGGGATGTCTCTGGTACTTTGTCTCACAGGATCCCCCTTAGGATCTCTTGTAAGGCTGGTTTAGTGGTGACGAATTCCTTCGGTTTTTGTTTCTTTGGGAAGACCTTTATCTCTCCTATTCTAAATGACAGACTTGCTGGATAAAGGATTCTCGGCTGCATATTTTTTCTGTTCATCACATTGAAAATTTCCTGCCATTCCTTTCTGGCCTGCCAAGTTTCAGTAGAGAGATCTGTCAGGAGTCTTATTGGTCTCCCTTTATATGTTAGAGCACGTTTATCCCTAGCTGCTTTCAGAATTTTCTCTTTATCCTTGTATTTTGCCAGTTTCACTATGATATGTGGTGCAGAAGATCGATTCAAGTTACGTCTAAAGGGAGTTCTCTGTGCCTCTTGGATTTCAGTGCCTTTTTCCTTCCCCAGATCAGGGACGTTCTCAGCTATGATTTCTTCAAGTACCCCTTCAGCACCTTTCCCTCTCTCTTCCTCCTCTGGAATACCAATTATGCGTAGATTATTTCTCTTTAGTGCATCACTTAGTTCACTAATTTCCCCCTCATACTCCTGGATTTTTTTATCTCTCTTTTTCTCAGGTTCCTCTTTTTCCATAATTTTATCTTCTGGTTCATCTGTTCTCTCCTCTGCCTCTTCAATCCGAGCCGTGGTCATCTCCATTTTATTTTTCAGTTCATTAATAGCATTTTTTAGCTCCTCGTGACTGTTCCTTAGTCCCTTGATCTCTGTAGCAATAGATTCTCTGCTGTCCTGTATACTGTTTTCAAGCCCAGCGATTAATTTTATGACTGTTATGCTAAATTCACTTTCTGGTATATTGTTTAAATCCTTTTTGATCAGTTCATTAGCAGTCGTTATTTCCTGGAGGTTCTGTTGAGGGGAATTCTTCGGTTTCGTCATTTTGGATAGTCCCTGGAGTGGTGCGGGACTGCGGGGCGCTTCCCCTGTGCTGTCTTGAATAACTTGTGTTGGTGGGCGGGGCCGCAGTCAGACCTGATGTCTGCCCCCAGCCCACTGCTGGGGCCACAGTCAGACTGGTGTGTACCTTCTCTTCCCCTTTCCTAGGGGTGGGATTCACTGTGGGGTGGCGTGGTCCGTCTGGGCTACATGCATACTGCCAGGCTTGTGGTGCTGAGGATCTGGCATATTAGCTGGGGTGGGTAGGCAAGGTGCACAGGGGCAGGAGGGGCAGTCTCAGCTGGCTTATCCTTTGATGATCTGCTATGGGAGGGGCCCTGCGGCACCGGGAGAGAGTCAGACCTGCTGCCGCTGCCGCTGCCGGAGGGATGGATCTGCAGAAGGACAGCATTGGGTGTTTCACAGTGCAAGCAGGTTACCTGGCGGGAACTGGTTCCCTTTGGGATTTCGGCTGGGGGGTGGGCGAGGGAGATGGCCCTGGTGAGCGCCTCAGGGGCTCAACAACTCTCCTTCCTGTTTTCCTCCAGCCTTCCAGCTTTCCAAGCAGAGCTGTTAACTTATAACCTTCCAGACGTCAAGTCCCTCTTGCTGTCAGAACACACTCCGACTGGCTCCTCCGCTTTTGCCAGCCAGACTTGGGGCCTCTGTTTGGCCGGCGGGCTGCCCCTCAGCCCCGGCTCCCTCCCGCCAGTCCATGTAGCACGCACCACCTCGCCGCCCTTCCTACCCTCTTCCGTGGGCCTCTTGTCTGCGCTTGGCTCCAGAGAATCCGTTCTACTAGTCTTCTGGCGGTTTTCTGGGTTATTTAGGCAGGTGTAGGTGGAATCTAAGTGATCAGCAGGACGTGCGGTGAGCCCAGCGTCCTCCTACACCGCCATCTTCCTGAGCTAAAATTTTTAAAAATAGCTAGGATAATATTTTATGTGGTTTTGACCTATGTTTTATTCTTAAATTGGCTTTAATTTTGTCTTACAGTAAAACTTTTCTGGTTAAGTCAACCTTACAGTTTGTAAAGAAATTCAGCAACTTCACATAAAATTTGTTATCTTGCCAGTAGAGACTATCATAACAAAGTTTTCTGTTCTCTAAGAAAGTTTTTGCTTTTGTATTATCCTCTGTGTAGTATTTAGTGAGTTTTTGGCTTAATATATTCAGGTGTATACATTACAAAGGTATTTTTCATAAAACAACTAGACAATATCATTTTGAGAGTTCACCGTTTAAACTGTGCTGGTAAACATTTAATTCTTATATTTCCTTTTGAAGAGCTAGCCAGCAGTTATATAAATGCTGGTATTGGTATAGATGGGGATATAGGCTTTGGAAGGAATCTTTTGGTCTAATTTGATCAGTGCTATTATATTTTTATTTTATATTTTATTTTATATTTTTATTTTTAGAGAGCACACAAGAGTGGGGGGAGGGACAGAGTGGGGCAGAGAAAGAGAACCTTAGGTAGGCTCCACCCCTCAGTGCAGAGCCTGATGCAGGACTTGATCCCACAACTCTGGTATCATGACCTGAGCTGAAATCAGGAGTCGGACACTCAACCAACTGAGCCACCCAGGTGCCCCTATTTTTTTCTTTTTTTAATTTGTGTGTTAAAGAGGGTTAAAAGTCAAATGTTCTTCCTCTGCTGTTGATTCTTCATTATATTTAGGAGAGGAAATTGCCTTGTTGTGGGACTAAGGAAATAGGAAAACACAGCTTATAAAGCTATATTTTATGTTTGTGTTATCCTTGGAGCATTCATTTCATTATTTTATTGCTAGTTTCAACAGTAAATACAGCAATTAGTTTGTGTGCCCTGAAGGACCATGGTACTTTAATGATGATGATTGTTTTTTTCCTTTCAGGAGAGAAGCCACAAGTCTTACCGTCCCTTAACAGTATTGACATTTCGCTTAAATTATCTGTTTAGTGAGCTGAAACCAATGTCATATCATCTCCTAAATATGATTTTTCATGCTGTGGTTAGTGTGATATTTCTTAAAGTCTGCAAACTTTTTCTGGACAACAGGAGTAGTGTCATTGCTTCTTTACTTTTTGCAGTGCATCCAATACACACAGAAGCAGTAAGTAAAACTGTGAATCAATTTTTTTCTTTTTTTTTTTTTTTTTTTAGCAGAGCCTACATAATGATTATAATGGTATATGTTTTTAAGAAAAAATTTAACTGTGGCTTTAAATCAAATATTTGAAGATTTTTTAATTAGTGTAAGTCTTAACTTTCTAGGCTACATAAAATTTTTAAATTTAAAAGAAGTTTTGAAACAAGCATTTATTATTTAAGGGTATAAGATATAATTGCTCAAGATTAGTAATGTAAAATATAAATGAATATAGGTCTTTTTTGCTAATTTTTTTATGAATATAGATTTAAAATATTTGTCAACTTGGCATTGTGTTTCAAAGGATAGGAAATATTTAGTAAGGCAAATTTAAGTAAAGGATGAAAATATATCAAAATATATGTAAACATAAACACATCCTAAAAAATGATGATACCCAGTACTTTCATGTTGTCTCTTGCCATGTGTTTCAAAATTGTTAGCTGTCTCTGCTGTTGCCAGTATGTCTGTCAGCCAGTACCTCCTAAGACATACTTAAACTATAACTATTTTTCTTGAAACCCCAAAACTGCGCACAACAGAGCAAAGAGGACTCTGTTCGATTGCTTTGTTATGAGCTTTTGGTTTGTAAGCAAAAATGTGTATGTTTAAACTCCAAGTGTTTGAATGTCTGTGTGTATTAGAAGGGGTGTGTGTGTCTCTCACTGTCTTGAACCTTTTTATGTCTAATTGAACAGATATTTTTCCATATGTTTATAAAAATGATAGGTTGTTTTAAATTCTACAGTGAATTCAAAGTACTTTTTTTTCTTTTTTTAATTTTTTATTTATTTAAAAAAATTTTTTTAAGTGTTTGTTTATTTTTGAGACAGACAGAGCATGAGCCAGGGAGGCGCAGAGAGAGAGGGAGACACAGCATCCGAAGCAGGCTCCAGGCTTGGAGCTGTCAGCACAGAGCCCGATGTGGGGCTTGAACTCATAGACCATGAGATCATGACCTGAGCCAAAGTTGACGCTTAACCAACTGAACCACCCAGGTGTCACAAGAGTACTTTGTTTTTAAGTTTATTTATTTTGAGAGAGAGTATGAGTAGGACAAAGGCAGAGAGAGAATCCTAAGCAGGCTGCACACTGTCAGCAGAGATCATGACCTGAGCCGAAATCAGGGGTCAGTGCTTAACTGACTGAGCCCCCTAGGCGCCCCCAAACTTTTTATATACTGGCCTCTTTTTTTTCTTTTTTTTAAGTTTATTTGTTTTGAGAGGGAGAGAGAGAATCCCACGCACGCTCTATGCTGACAGCAGAGATCATAACCTGAGCTGAAATCAGGAGTTAACGCTTAACTGATTCAGGCACTCAGGCATACTTTAAAGGAAGAGGTTTGAAGGTTTTATATTTAATTTTTTAGAATTTAAAAGGGCTTTTTAAAGTTCATTGTCTTTAGTTTATAAGTTTATTTTGAGATAGACCTTACTGAATTTATGATGTTTTTATATTTTAAGAACACTTGTATTTTAAGAAAATATGTAAGGTCTTAGGTTTTTTGTTTTTTTTAATTAAGACCTACTCTAGATATTGTACTAATATTATATAAGATGTTACTGTTGATGGAAGCTGGGTAAACCGTACACAGGACTTCTCTGTATCTATTTTTGCAACTCCCTGTGGGTCTGTAATTATTTCAAAATAGTGATGATAATAGAACTATTGTAGAGTCACTGGAAAATATATTTTTATGGAAGATACACAGATTCACCACACGAGGGCACTCAAAGAATGTCTAAGAAACTGAAATATGCTTGAAAAATTATGGCAATTTAATTTCTAAAGTGCTGTTCCTATTATATATGGTAGTTAAATTTTCAAGAGGCTCTTCGTTAATATGAACTCCTCTCCCTTTCCCTTTTTAGGTAACCGGTGTTGTAGGAAGAGCAGAACTTTTGTCATCTATCTTTTTTCTAGCTGCATTTTTGTCATATACCAAATCAAAAGGACCAGATAATTCCATAGGTGAGTGTCTAACATTTAATTTTTTTTCTATAGATATAAAACTTGCTAAGTAATTTTTACTTACTATATTTGTTATAAAATATATGCCACACTTGGGTTTATCTTTATATATTATTACTATTTCAGCACGTATGGACATACGAACATGATATGCAACATTGTCAATAGTAAAAATTATTTTTGTATGCAGTTTATATTTTATCATAACTAACAGATTCTGTATTTAATTTAACTTAAAAAATTTACCCTAGAGTATAGGAGTTTTAGAGTCATTCCTAGTTCCATCTGTTGTTACCTATCAAAGATACAAGTACTAATACTTCAGTTGTCTTTCTGTAATAACACCTGTGAAGGCCATGAATTGTATTGTTTAGATAAAGTTGAAAGCCTATTAGAATATAACTTTTATTAGGTGTTGATCATAGTTCAGCTATTTATGGAGTCCCTACCATGTGGCTCACCCTGGAAAATGCTTTGTACACATTAGCTCATTAATCCTAGTTATGCCAGGTATTATCAGAAAACAAGTTCCAGGCAATAAAAATGATTTGTGTGAACAGTAGACCTGAAAGAGGTTTTACATAATAGTAACCTGTATTTGGTTGATCTAAACTTTAACTCTATTTTTTTTTCCCCTACATCATTGGAGAATTTTCTCACTATAAACCCAAAGTACTGATGATAAGGGGCCTAATTTTATATTAACGGAAACTGAGTTTCAACAAATAAGTGATTTAGCCAAACACCTTTAGTGTTGTCTTAGATTTGTAATATAGGTAGGTTTCTATCTCCATTTCCTGGAATGGAGTTCCTGGTATACAGTAGGTGTTCAGTATATACTTGTTGAGCAAATGACCAAGTCAGCGATTAAATTATAATTAAAAAAAGTGCTGAACCTGCTTTGGACCTCTCTCTGTCCAAATAACTCCCATAGTCCTATTCCACATTACATAATTTTTACTTGAGACCATAAACAGATTTGTCATCATCTTTTGTATTCACTATTTAACGTATGTGTCCTTGCAAAGGTTTCCAATTTGTAATTATTTGATCACTTTAAATTCTAGGTTATTCATGACCCACACCCATTTTGAAAGCATGATCCACCTCAGGGCCTTTGCTTCTTTCTGTTACTTTGGGTTTCTGCTCAGATGCCATTAGCAGCACCACTCATCTTCCCATTCCTTTCTATTTCCCTTCACCTTCTGTTTTTCTTTATTAACACTTAGATCATCAGTTAACAGATAAATCTTGTTTATATGACTATTATCTTTCTCCTCCACAAAATGTAGTAGATACTTAAAATAACTATTTGAATATATGTGATTGCTAAAGGTTTGTATCTTTATACATGTAAAATTCAGTTTAGAAACCTATATTTTGAAATTGGAATGAATTTTAATGATTGAAATGGATTCTGTATTTATACGTGTATACTTTTAAATGTTGTTAGTGTATCTAGCAGGGGGATTGTTTTGGACAAAATTACACATGGTTAACTTTAACCCCAGAGATCTATTTATAAAATCAAAGTATGTGTTCATACAGTAATGTAATCACCAAAAATTGAAGAACTGAAGTGACTGGTTTCAATAAAGCTTTTGCCTTTATTAGAGCTGTTAGTTGCTGAGATTGAATCCAGCATTACAGAATGCAGCTGTTTGCTTTCTGTCTTGGAGTGGAATTACAAACTAGGAGAAGCTCTGAATTTAATGTCAGAAGAACCAAGTTAAAGTCCTGATTTCTTTATTGTGCATGACTTTTTTGGACCTCTAAAATTCTTTCTTCATCTTAAAAATGCACATGATTACATCTTCCCTTATATCACAGTAGAGTGATTTTGAGACTCAAATAACATATGCTAAACTGGCTATACAAGCCGTTTGATATATTGTTTTAAATATCTTTTCAAGGCCGTTATTTCCCACTAATTTTTATTATATTCATACCCTTCCATTCATATTATTCTCTGTATCATTCATTTGCTAAGCTTATTCCCTCCTCCTCTCTATGCATGCATACCTCTTCCCCAGTTTTTCTATGTATATATCTTCAAGGTTCAACTTTAGGTTCAGCTTGTTTTGTAAATAATCATCTACTGATTTCTTTCCTGTATGAATTTCTTATGGAATTTAGCATTATGTTTCATTCCTTGGTATAATGTACTTTTGTATTGATGGTTTTGATCTGACTAGAATATGAGTTTTTTGTTTTTTGTTTTTTTTTTTGAGGAAAGGAATACTGTTTTACTGGGTATCTCCAATAGTGTTTGAATGTTTTTTGAGTTGTTTTTCTTTCAGTAATTTTAATCAGTAGAGTATTTTAAAGTTGAAAACAATTTCAAAAATAAATGAATTTCTGGAGTAAGCCCAACAACAAAAGAAGATATATCAAACTCATGAATTATTTTTCTATTTATACTTGGATTTAAGTCAATTATTTGAGATTTTGCTCTGATTAATGTTCTTCTTTTTTTTTTTTTTTAATTTTTGATTAATGTTCTTAATAAATAAACCTGAGGTCACACAATTATACTGCAATATGCTTTTTTAACTTGAAATGAATTGGAGGTCATATTTTACAGTAGGAAAACTTAAGCTCAGAAAACATGTTCAAAGTCATAAAGCAAGTTAGTAGATATGGAATTATTCTCAAAATTCATTCTTCTTGAATCAAATTATTACTACTAACTAGTTGATATTGCTTAAAGTTGATGAAGTAGGTTTTCTATTTAAGTAGGACTTATGAATATTCTATTGATAGTATTTTTAAGTATATATATATATATATATGTACATATATATGTATGTGTATATATATCCTGAGAGAGAGTGCAAGAAGGGGAGGGGCAGAGAGAGAGAGGAACACTACCAGCACAGCCCAATGCAGGGCTCGAACCCACAAAGCCATGAGATCATGACCTGAGCTGAAACCAAGAGTTTGACACTTAACTGACTGAGCCACCCAGGTGCCCTCTAATGCAGATTTTTTAAAAGAATAGTATTAATTTAAATTCTATTTATCTGTTTCAGTTTTTATACTCTTTAAAATAAGAATGTTATTCTACTTTGCTTAGTAGTTTTCAGTTTGAAGTTTTTAATAAATGACAGATATAATAAAACATATAGATGTCTGTGTAATAATTTAAAGAATTTGCCTTCATTTCACATACATAGTTCATTAATCACAACACTCCAGCCTTTAAGCTTCCCTTCTCCAATTTGGCCACCCTACCTTTGTTTTAAAAATTAGTATTTCAGGGCGCCTGGGTGGCTAAGTCGGTTAAGTATTTGACTCTTGATTTCAGCTCAGGTCATGATCTCAGGGTTCCTGAGATTGAGCCCAGCTTTGGGCTCTGTGCTGACAGCAGGGAGCCTGCTTGGGATTCTCCCCCCCTCTCCCCCCCCGCCCCTCCCTGTGTGCGTGCATGCATGCGTGCATGCTGTCTCTCTCTCTCAAACTAAATAAACTTTTTAAAAACATTTCATTAGATAATTTTCCTCTCTACAAAAATTTATTAGTTTAAGTTATACATTTCGATGTTTTGTTTTGGGTATATAAAATCACAACACTTAAATACATTTTGAAATATGAAGTATAGGTTAATGGGAAATAACACAAATGTGAATATAGAATCATGAGTTTTTTAGTAATGTCCAGCAGTTGTATAACTTAAAATATTCATTTATAATACTATAAAATTGTTTTGTGTAGTTTATATTTTTCTGTTCTTATATTGCAGTATGGACTCCAATTGCTTTGACAGTGGTTTTAGTTGCTGTTGCAACATTGTGTAAAGAACAAGGAATAACAGTTGTGGGAATTTGCTGTGTGTATGAAGTATTTATTGCCCAGGGGGTAAGGAGAAATACAATTTTTATTGTTATCTTTTATCCTTTTTGAATTTGATGATAATAAACTTGGTTTCTAAATGTGTCATTATAAATTATTCTCTTTACCAATAATGTTACCAAAAATTTGCAAGAAACTGGCATATTTTGTCCTCGTAGCCACTGAAAATTACTTAACATTTTATAACTCCTTCAGTTTTTTAAGACTGTTGTTTCAGTTTTAATAATGGAACCATTAGGTAATTTGGAAATGTACACAGTAATACCGTCCAATATGATTCATTATTGGGTAAGATTATTGGACTCAGTTTTATTCCTAATCAGTTCCACACATTGCTCCATACTGATTTTATAATTACAGTCAATTTATATCTAATCTTGCATTTTGAATGTATTGCATTGTTGAAAACGTTGTAGTATATTGTTATTTAAAACTTGTTTTTCCTTTTGCAGTATACTTTGCCATTATTATGTACTACTGCCAGACAGTTTTTCCGTGGGAAGAGTAATATTCCATTTTCTATGCTGCAGACACTAATAAAACTCATTGTTTTGATGTTCAGTACACTATTACTTGTTGTGATTAGAGTCCAGGTCATTCAGTCCCAACTTCCAGTATTCACCAGGTATGGAAATTCTGGTTCTTTTTTTTGTTTTTGTTTTTGTTTTGTTTTGTTTTGTTTTGTTTTCATCCTTTCTTTAACTCTTGATGTTCAGTGATTATAATAGAAGTGTTTGATTTACATTGAGTTTTTTTTCTTTTTTCATGTTTGTTTATTTATTTATTTATTTATTTATTTTGAGAGAGAGTGAAAACAGAGCACAAGCAAGGGAGGAGCAGAGAGAGAGGGTGAGAGAATTCCAAGTAGGCTCCACGCTGTCAGCACAGAGCCCAATGTGGGGCTCAATCTCATGAATCATGAGATCACGACCTGAGCTGAAATTAAGAGTTGGCTGCTAAATGACTAAGCCACCCAGGCGCCCCTACATTGAAGTTTTTTTTAACAGCTTTTTGTATAATTAATATTTTTTTAAAACCTGCATATATTTATAATGTACAAATTAGTAAATTTTGACATACTGAGTACACTCATGAAACCAACGAATGAAAATAATGATTTTAACCTAATGAAACTTTAACCTATTTTAACTTAATTGGTTATTAAGTGATGTCTTATATAGTTTAAGTGATTTTTATCTACTTGTTCTATTATTAAGTAGAGGATGTTGAAATCTTTGACTATAATTGTAGATTGGTCTATTTCTTCTTGTAGTTTTAATTTCATGTGTTTTAAAGCTCTATTTTCAAGTGGTTAACATCTAGGATTATAATGTCTTGATGAATTAATCCCTTTACCTTTATTAATGAGTTTCTTTATCCTTACTAATAATCTTTACTCAGAAATTCACTTTGTATCTCTTTTGTTGGAGTTACATGGTTTATCTTTTTCCATCTTTTTACTTTTTATCTATCAATATCTTTTTTTTTTATTTTGAGAGAGCAGGGAGAGACAGAGAGAGGGAGAAAGAAAATTCCAAGCAAGCTTTGAACTGTCAGCACAGAGCCCAGGGCAGGTCTCAATCCCACAAACCATGAGATCATGACCTGAGCTGAAATCAAGAGCACTTAACCAACTGAGCCATCCAGGCACTACTATCAGTATCTTTGAAGTTGATATCTTACAGGCTGCATATAATTGAGTCTTCCTTTTTTGTTTGATCAGATAATCTGTTTTTTAAATGAGGTGTTTCAGCCATTTACATTTAATGTGATTTTCGTATTGTACCATTTTTGTTTGTGACTAAAGGACTTGACCTGTAGGTCTGTTGATGCCAAATTGTTTTAGCTTTTGTATATAAAAATATCTTTATTTTACCTTTGTTTTTGAAAAATATTTTCCCTGAGTTTAGAATTCTACACTGACTTTTTTGCATTCAGCACTCTAAAAATGTTGCTCTACTATTTTCTAGCTTGCATTGTTTTTACTGGGAAAACCTCTGTCATCTTTATTTTTGTGCTTCTGCATATAGTGTGTCTTTTTCTCTATGCCTGCTTTTATTATTTTCTCCTCACCATTGTTTCTCTTTTTATTTTATTTTTTAAATTGAGACATAACTGATATATAACACTATATGAATTTTAGGTATACAGTGTCATGATTTAGTATATGCGTATTGAGAAATTATCACAATAAATTTACTTAACATCCATCACCACACATAATTACAGAGAATTTTTTTCTTGTGATGAAAACTTTTACAATCTACTTTCTTTGCAGCTTTCAAATATGTAATATGGTATTATTAACTGTAGTCCCCATGCTGCATATTACTACTGTAGGACATACTTATCATATAACAAAATTTGGGTGAAGGTGGTCAAATGATACAAACTTCTGGTTACCCTTACTTTTATTTTCATGTGCACTGTGCTTAGGTTAACTGAGTTTAGAATCTATATGTTTTAGTATGTAAATTTTGGAAATGTTTTAGCCATTACTCATTGAAATTTGTTTCTATTCTTCTAGGACCCCAATTACATGTAAGTTAGGCCTTTTGAAGTTGTCACACTAATGCTCTGTTTATTCCCCTCCCAAAACTATTTTCTCCGTTTTCATTTTGGTAGTTTCTTCTGCTTTGCATTCAAGTTCACTGGTCTTTTTTATGCAATGTCGAGTCTCCCTTTAATTTTTTCTAGTTTTTTCATTTCAGACAGTTTTCATCTCTAGAAATTCTGTTTAAGCCTTTTTTCTATGTTTCATGTCTTTACATGTTCTAGTACTTTAATGTCTTCATCTACTAATTTTCTTGTGTGTGTCATTTCTTAGTTTAGATTGAATAATTTTTCTCCTCATAGATTATATGTTTCTACTTTTTCACATGCCCAGTAATTTTTTAGTAGATGCCATATGTGAGTTTTACTTTAATATATTCCTATAAATATTTTAGAGCTTTATTTTGGGATGCATTTAAGTTATTTGAGAGATGTTTCATCTTCTAGTCTTGCTCTTAAGCTTTGTTATATGAGACCACAGCAGCATTTATGATAGAGGTAATTTTCTTCCACTACTGATTCTGTCTGATAGACTGTGACTTATGAGAGCTTTTATTCTGGCTGCTGAGGAACTATTCCTAGCTCTGTATGGCATTTGAGAATTTTTATCTAATTCGTTTGAGAGGTAGTTTCCTATTTCTATTATTTTTCCTGCTGCTGTAACAAATTAGCAGAAACTGGGTAGCTTAAAGCAGCAGAAATTTATTCTCTTACAGTGATGGAGGCCACAGTCCAAACTGTGTCAGGCATAGTTGGTTCCTTCTGAAGACTCTCAGGAAGAAGTCTGTTCCATGCCTCTTTCCTAGTAGCTTCTAGTGGTTGCTAGCAGTCTTTGGCATTCCTTGGTGTGTTGCTGTATCACTGCAGTGATTATACATTTGGTTTAAGGCTCACCCTAATCCAGTGTGACCTCATCCTAACTTGACTAATTACATTGGCAAAGAACCTATTTCCAAATAAGGAAAAAAATCTGAGGTTCTGGATAGACATGAATGTTTGAGAGACATGGTTCAACCCACTACACTGACCTTGAGTATTTCCATATATATATGCTGATTGGTTCTGATCAGTACTACAAACTGGAAGGAGACCCTCTACAGATCTGAGTTCTCTTTCTCAGCAGCTTTCTTCTCTCTGGTATTCTCCCCCACTGACTCTATCGACCTGGGCTCCTAGGGATCCCAGTTCCATCTTCACAACTCAGGGATACTCCTAGGCTCCACTGGGTTCTCCCTCAATGCTCCACAGACTAAGAACTGTATCCAAGTATTGAACTTTCCAGGTAGGGTTTCCCTCATTTGTTTTCCTTCTCTGGGGTATCATTGTCTTTCTTTGCCTGATACCCAACTGTGTTATGTCTTGTCCAGTTCTTCTCTCCTTTAAGACTAGAAGCAAAAAGGGGTGCCTGGGCGGCTCAGTCAGTTGGGTGTCCGACATCAGCTCAGGTCATGATCTCACCGTCCGTGAGTTCGAGCCCCACATCAGGCTTTCTGCTGATAGCTCAGAGCCTGGAGCCTGCTTTGGATTCTGTGTCTCGTTCTCTCCCTGCCCCTCCCCCCACTAGCACTCTGTGTCTCTCTCTCAAAAATAAAATAAAAACATTAAAAAAAATTTAAAAAAAAGACTAGAAGCAAAAGTTATACTGAATTTAACAGTCTACATATCTTGTTTTCCTGCTCTAACATTTAGCATTTTCCCATTTCACCTTTTTCAGGGTAAATTTATAATGAAATTTATAGGGGCACCTGGGTGACTCTGTCGGTTAAGCATCTAATTCTCAATTTCGACTCAGGTCATGATCTCATGGTTTGTGAGATTGAATCCTGCATTGGGGCTCTGCCCTAACATTGCAGAACCTGCTTGGGATTCTGTCTCTCTCTCTCCCTCTCTCTCTGCCCCTCCCCAACTCACACTCTCTCTCAAAAAAAGAAAAAAGTTAAAAAAAAAATAAAATGAAATTTATACTAGTTTCTTACCCAATTTTATTTAAGTGACTAACGTTACATGCAAGATCTTTTAACATTTCCACGCAATATTCCTTTCAGTAGCATTTTTTTCTTTGAAGAATAATTACTTTCTAATTTCATGAATTTTTACTTCTGAGTCTAGCTGTGCTAAACTGAACCAACTTATTTAAATAGTAAAATATGGAAAAGAGATTAAACTGTAAATATTTTATATTTCCTTCTTTACCCTCATATTCAGTGTTACTGTTTTTATTCCTTTTAGAGAATTTGCATCAACTGTTTTTATCTCCATTTCTGTAGTATGATAATGTGGTTTATATGTATTAATGTATTTTGTGTATGTGTGGATTGCTATATGGATTATATTACATATAAATGTATATTTTCCAAATATAAGCATTTAAAAGTATGCATATATATAAATTTCTTGTATTAAATTATCAGTGAAGTTGACTATAATATGGTTTCACATGCTTTGCCACATGTTCTTTTTCTATAGTACAGTTATTAAATCAGCTATTCTAAATAAACTATTAATTATAAAACTGAACTTCGAATAGTGGATTATAGGAAAAAAGACAGCCTTGTGTTCAGTTCTGTTCGTTATTTGATAATTCAAGCCTTGACTCAAGATTTGTTATTTTTCATATATGTAGACATTCAAATATGAAAGTTTTAAAAATGATGTTATTTGTTTAAATAGTATTTGCTATTTCCCAGCTATTTGAATTTTTAAGAAGACCAAGTCAAATAAATGGTAGAGGTTGATTGTTTTTAATTAACTCATTCATTATAAAATGAGAAATTGGGCTTTTAAAGACTAATATTAACAAAACCAATAAAATTTTGAATGTAGCCTAAAGAAATGAGTATCTGAAGCCATTCATTTGAAATATACTTAAAAAATGATTTGACTATGGTTTGACTTAGTTTGCAAGAAGCAGACTGAATTAATGAAACGTACATGTAATATATCGTGGCCTGGACAAATATAAAATAGGATATAAGCAAACTGTAAGAGACTCTTAACTATAGAGAAGAAACTGAAGGTTGATGGAGGGAGGTGGGTGGGGGATGGGCTCAATGGGTGATGGGCATTAAGGAGGGCACTTGGGATAGCACTTATATATATGTTATATATGTTATATGTAAGTTATATATAAGTGATGGATCACTAAATTCTACACAGAAACCACATATGTTTTACCATGTATGTTAACTAGAATTTAAATAAAAACTTGGAAAAAAAAGTATAAGCTTATGTTAGTATATAGTAGGAGAAAAAGTAGAACACAAATAAAATGTTACATAGGGAAATACAGCTACTATTCTATACTGGAAATTTGGTTTCAGCTTCCTAAAAGTGTAAGCAAAGAGGAAAAGCTCATAGATGATACAGTTTTTTTCTGTCCATGACAAAAGAAAACCTTTCTTTCTAGGAAGCATAATTTTTATTAGCATTTAGTGCTGAAAGAAGCATCTCATGCAGAAGAAAGTATTGGTTAGTGTTCTCCAAAGCACTCGTACAGCACCTACGAGTCTATTAAAATGTTCTTTTTACTTTTAATCAGGTTATAATTTAATGAAAGCACTTCTGCAGGGTACACATGTCTGATCTAGTTGCCCTTCCAACCATTCCTCATAGATTCTCAACTAGATATTTCATAAGGGTTGGACATTTTGAACTCCAGTGAGGACTGAGGTATTCATAAAAAATACTTTGTCATTTTAAGTGAGATTACATATGAAATACTGCTTTTTGGTATTTTATTTATATGTTACATATTAATTTTGTGTTTGAAACGTGTTTTAGATTAAATAACTTTTTTTTTAATCTTTTTACAGATTTGATAACCCAGCTGCTGTAAGCCCAACTCCTACAAGGCAGCTAACTTTTAACTACCTCCTTCCCTTGAATGCTTGGCTTCTATTAAATCCTTCGGAACTGTGCTGTGATTGGACCATGGGAACAATACCACTTATAGAATCATTTCTAGATATTCGAAATCTTGCCACATTTATTTTCTTTTGCTTTTTGGGGGCTTTGGGGGTATTCAGTCTCAGATACCCTGGTGATTCCTCCAAGACTGTTTTAATGGTAAGAAAACTTTCTTAATTTTTCAATTGATACAACATTCAGTTGATTTAAAGACCACCTTTAATTTGTCAAAGCATCTTCTTAGAAACAGTATTTTTGTTTATTCAACATCACCCTAATTTATTAATTTATATATCAGAATTTCATATGCAGGCATATATATTCAGCATGTAAAATAAAAACTGGTTATAAATTTCCCTATTTGGTAGGAACTCTGAAATCATGAAGCATCCCTTTTGGCATCATTATCTTCTACTTCTTTATCCAAGTAGATTATACACTTTTTTTGAGGAAATGGATCATATTATATACTTTGTGTTCTTGACACAGAGAAGAATGTCATGTAAGGTAGACAGCTAGAAACATATTAGCTCTTTAGTTCTCATTAGTAAGACTTCATTATTCTATGAGTTATTTTTTACTATGTTCAGAGGACTCTGATTATGTACAAAGTCTTCTTATTCAGGATGTATTTCTTTGTAATTTTCTTACTTTGCTGTCACTTCTAACAGTTTTGTTTTCCTTTAAATTATTGAAGACAGTAATAATCTTTAACATTTTCTTGAGCATTTGCTACATGCCAGAAAGTGTTTCTAATACTTTACAAATACATCATACCTGGCTGCAGTCACTAGATTAGTCATTCACTAAAAGTTTTTTGTTGTGATCTGTGTACCAGGCAGCATTTTAGGCACTGAGGATATGATAAATACAAGGCCCCGATTACCAGGGAATTGGCATTTTGGAAAAATTTGAAGCTAATGTCTGATATATAGAGACAATTGAAAGAATATAGGGTTTGGGAGAAAGATCATATTTACTATTATTTTTTGATCTGTTGAGTTTGATCCTAGTGGGGAATTTGAATAGCACCTGGTGCCTGGAGTTCAGAGGAGACGCCTAAGCTACACATAAAAAATTGATTGCAGTATTGGCATAGAGATAGTAATTGAAACCAGGATATGATTAAGAAAGTCTATGGCGATTTTAGAGGTTTCTCACCTGGGGTTTTGTCACTGTTCTCAAAGATAGTAATCAGCTATTACCATTGTAGATGCATGGAATAGAAGATAATTCATACACATAATTAATGCCTTGGAGTATTTGGTCTTAATTCTTCCTCAGTAGATAGTTGAAGGGGCTAGATAGAGTGAAAAGAAAAGAAACCTACAAGTAGGTCTTTAAAAAACTTCTATATTTGGGGGTGCCTAGGTGCCTTAGTTGGTTAAGCATCTGACTGGATCTCAATACAGATTTTGTTCTCAGAATCCTGAGTTCAAGCCCCACGCTGTGCTCCACACTGAGTGCAGAGCCTGCTTAAAATAAGTCAGTCAGAGAAAGATCTCCTGTGATTTCACTCATATGTAGAATTTGAGGACCTTAACAGATGAACATAGGAGAAGTGAAGGAAAAATAAGATAAAAACAGAGAGGGTGGCAAACCATAAGAGACTCTTAAATACAGAGAACAAACTGAAGGTTGGTGAGGAGTGTGTTAAATGGGCGACAGGCATTAAGGAGGGCACTTTTCGAGATGAGCACAGGGTGTCAGATGTAAGAGATGAATCACCAGGTTCTACTCCTGAAGCCATGACCACACTGTATATTAACTTGAGAAAATAATAAAAAATAAAAAAAAAAAAGACCTTCTGTATTTAGATACTGTGTAGAAGAGAATGAACCTAAGTAGGAGCTAGACCAAGTGGACAGAAAGGTAAGTAAATGTTTTAAGGAAGATGGAATGGTTATCACTAACAGATGCTGTGAAGCAGAAAAGTGAGATCAGTCATATTTTACCTCTTTTGGTGTATTAGTTACTTAAATGAAATTTATTTCTGTGGAAAAATTTGATTAGGAGATGAGGACGTGAAGATTGCTAGTGTAGATAACCAACCCATAAGGTAACTCAACTTTGAATATTTCAAAGGATGAGCAAACTTGAATTTATTACTACCTAAGTGAGAGAATACTATGCCGACTTCAAGTATCACAGACTGATCTCATGTAGAGCTTGGAGGAAGCATGAAGATCTAGATTTGGTGTACCTTCAGAAGTAGGAGAATCACTTTCATTGGAGTACTCAGTTGGCTGACTTTTAGAAGCAGGGGATGTCAATAATGGGTTGATTTGCAAAAACATACTCATTGATTTGAATTGTTGATTAAGTGGGGTTAAAACGAGCTACTTCATACCCCCACTATAAAAGTGCTTTCGTAAGAGTGTGGGAATTTGATTTACACCTGAAGTACATAATGAATGGTAACGTTACATAATGGTAACTTAAATATATGTTGTCAAAGGACATGTTTAAGATTGGGGAGACAAGAGCATATTTAAATATGGATAGGAACGATACATTTGATTAGAAAGTGGCTGAGTAAATGAAGGGATGGCTAATTGTGAGATTTGTGCGGAGCAAGGGCCATGTAGATACAGCTCAGGTTTGGCCTGAGACAGATGGAGATGCCTCTTATATCTCAGAATGGATGGAAATACATGTGAATGTGGATGTTGGTTGGTATAGGAGCAGGGAATTGAAGGAATTCTTGTTTTATGAGTGTAGTTTTCTCTGTATGTTTGGAAGTATAGTCACCTGCTGAAAATGTCATGGATCAGAAGTTTAAAGTAATCAAGATTTAAAATCTAGGAGAGTGGGAATGAGCCTACCAAAGAAAACTAGAAATTCTGAGCAGTCTTAAGAATCATTTTGAAGTTGACCATGAATTTTTGATGATACTGATCTGTTCTGCTTTGGGACTGTCTCTAGTAGTGCTTTGTTGCTCAGGTAAATACAAAGCAGATATATGGTAGAATACATCCAAAGCCGAGGTTCTGCTAAAAGAAAGGAAAAATAAGGAAGGTTGGGTGAATTTAAAATTTGGGCAAATAAAGTAATGATTTATGTAATGTAAGCTGAATAAAAAATAAAGAGAGGATCGTGCCAGTGAAGTAAGCATAGATTTACATAAATTTTATTTTATGTGTATAAAAGAACAATTGTGACCTTAAGTACTGCCTTAAGAGAGTACTAAACAGGTTATTTTTTATGGTGATATTTTCTGAAGATCTATGGAAGGGACTGAGTAGATCAAAGGAGTACCTGCCTAGTACCAGATACCATGATAAGCACTTACTAAATAAAATGCCATATGTATCAACAATATAAGCAGTTATTAATCCCTTTTTATGAAGAAACACTGATTGGCAAGATGATTGAGTGGTTTACCTTATTATGTTACATAAGAAATAAGAAGTCAAAGAGATTTGTCCAAACTCTGTGAGCTTTCCACTACCACCTTTTCTTTTCTGTTGTTGTTGTTTTTTTAATGTTATTTTTGACAGAGTGCAAGTGGGGGAGGGGCAAAGGGAGAGACACAGAATCAAAAGCAGACTCCAGGCTCTGGGCTGTCAGCACAGAGCCTGACATGGGGCTCGAACCAGCAAACCATGAAATCATCACCTGAGCTGAAGTCAGATACTTAACCATCTGAGCCAGCAAGGCACTCCTAACACCTGTTGTTTTAAAGAGAATTTTATGTTACTGAAGAAGGAACTTATGGTAGCCATAGTTACCTAGGTTAGCATATACCAGTAGAGAACATATTAGAACTTTTCATTAAGTTAATTAGAGGCATTCCTTATCTAGGAACCGGTAGGTTTTTTGTGAGATTGCTTTTTGTGTATGCAGCTTATGCATCACAACCAATGCATCTTTGAATGAATTTAACACTTTTAATTCTTTTAAATAAAATTGCTATAAGGAAGCCATGAATTATTTAAAAAAAAAATGCTTGTTTGTTTTTAGAAAAGGACTACATATTTTGGAATGTCTCTTTCGCAGCTAGCTGGTTATTTTTATCAAGCACTCTTGGGAAATGGAAAGTGAATTATGTACTCTGAATGTTTTACCTTTTTGATCAAAAAAGAAAACACTAAAATTTTAGATCTATAAATTAGCATGATACTGAGCAGTTTGGTAGTGCTTTAGAGTTATTTCCTTATTACAAGTCATTAATTTGTGTGACGGAGAAATACACATCTCTGTATCTATATTTTGCTAATAAAATATAATAAAGGAAAAACAATCTTTCCTCTCAAACTGTTAGAAGACTCAGACTTCTGAAGCTGAAGGAACAATTTGCAGTTATTCAGTTAGATACTATAAAACAAATTAGGGTAACAAATTGTGGAAGCAGATATCCATAGAAACAGGTGTCTTAATAACAACCAACTTCTTTTCACAAGTTATTTGTGTGCTAGCTGTTTGTATCCTATCTTTTTAATGGCTTCATAATCTAGCAACCTTATGTTAACTCGTTTTCAAAATGGCAAAAACAATCTAAGCATTTTTATGATGTTTTATTTCAATGTACAGTGTTAGAATTTTAGAAATTCTTGTAGAATAAAAGACTACTATTTAATGGGGCAGTTTTATTTTTGTGTATATGCTAAGCCACTGTTAAATGTATATGATCCATCAGAATGTTATGCAAGTAATGCTGGGGTACAGAAGTAGTAGTCTACTATCTTGTCTGAAGTGTACCTTATGTCATTTCCTCAGTTTCCAATATTTGAATAGTTACAGTAGTAAAATTATAAAAACTTGTATGGTTGGTTTTCTTTTGTTAAAACCTGTTAACGTCTTTATCAGTTTATTTTTACCACACGTACTTTAGTTGGATGTTTAAAAATTGTCTTATTTATATATATTCCCCCCCAATTTTTTTTATTTAATTGGATGATCTCTGGTTATAAGTTCTAGCTTGATCTCACTTTGGTGACATAATCCTGATGTCTGTTATTACTATCCCTAAGTTGCCTTCCTTATGTTTAAACTAGTATTGTTTAGAGTATTATTAAAAATGGTCCACCAGTACAGTGAACCATTCAAATTAATGGTCATTTATCATTCAAGTTAAATGATACAATATTTGGATTTTGCTATTGAATGTCCACATATTTTTTAAATAAAATATCTTATTTTTCTTTGTAGGCACTTTGTCTAATGGCATTACCATTTATTCCTGCATCAAACCTTTTCTTCCCAGTGGGATTTGTTGTTGCTGAGCGAGTATTATATGTTCCTAGCATGGGGTTCTGTATTTTGGTAGCCCATGGATGGCAGAAAATATCAAACAAAAGGTGAATTAAAATGTTAGTTCATTTAATGCTTACAAACTATAGAATTAAGTGTGATACATTTAAGTATTTAAAGTGTTTAGTTTTATAAGTCATATTTTTATACCTTTTTATTTTCCATCTTGATCGTTTCCTCATATTTCTGTAATTGAAGTTAAGAAAGCTCCATGGCACCTACCTCACCCTATGTTCTTTCTCTTATTTATATAATTTTGTTGTAAGCCTGAAACCTAACACACTTTGAGTTAGACCCAAATGAAAACAAGGATATTATTGAGACTACAGTTACAAATTACCATTGCCACTTCCACATGCAGTGAACTAAGATATAGGCTTCTTATTTAAGTGAGTCATGTTGATTTAATATATGTAAAATGCATATAGTAAGCAGTCTGTAATTTGATATCACTATCTTCATCATAACTACCATGTCCTAGAGGCCTCAAACTAACAATTAAGGAACAGAATATTCACATTGTATATATGCAAGAAATGGTCACCGACTCTGCTTTCTCACTTTCTAGTCATCCTTCAACACACAGAATTCTGACTTCTCTCTATATCATTGCATTCTAGTAACTAAATCCAGTCAGTGCTTGTATTTAAAATTTATTTCCTGGGCATCTGTAAAAAGTGCCTCTCCTAATTCTCTTCCATGTCTCTTCATCTCTGTTCAGACTCTTCTCAGGTTCTTATTGCTATAACTGCTCTTTATTTATTTCTCAGAGTTTTATTCACAGCCATTTTTGTCACATTGCATATTCTCTCTGGATGATCTCATCCATGTCTACAATTTTTGCTAACATCTACCAAGCCTTTTCTCTTAACTTCTACCCATTTATCCAGTTATAATTACTACCAGTTTTTGAGTGCTTCCTAGGTGCCAAGAGCCATGATAGACCTTTTAGATTTGTTTTCTCATTTAATCTAACTTTCCTTAACTCTGGTGTGCACATTTGAAAACTGAAGCTCATACAGGTTACTGAACCAGATTACCTCAAGATCACACAGCTAGTAAATAGTAGACTCTTGATTCACATTTACATCTTACTGCCTCCAGTGTCCATTTTCTTTCTGATCCATGCACTCTTATCCTGATTAAGTGGATCTGTCAAAATGAAAGAAGTTGAACTGTGTTACTGAGACAAAAAAATAGACTCAGAGAACATTAGTAATGAATGTGATCATAGGGATTATTGAAGTGTAACCTTTTTATACATGAGGAATTGTTTCCCAAATAATTAGCCTAAAGCTATATAAGCTATATTGTATCTATTATATAAAGTGTTAGTTTTACTATGACTTATCATAAATACCTCTAGCTTTAGAATGTAAAAATATTCAAAGAATGTCATGATAATCTGTGGTATAGATGCAGTCTGGGTAAGCCAAAATTTTTTAAAATACAGCCAATGATAAAATTGACCCTTGATAAACACAATTAAGAATGTTCAAGTTGTAAGTAAAAGCCCCCCAAAAAAAGTCATACTTAAAAATTGGTTTATCGGGTTTTTTGTCATTAAACTTAAGCAGACTTTTTGAAATAGAGACCAGTAGTGGAATATTTAATATAATTTAAGACTGAAGTAGAAGGCAGTGTGCATAATATTTAATTTTTTGGTGTTGCCTTTGAAGTTGGATGATTGTTAGAAGGATCCTCATTCCTTAAAATAAACTCAAACATGATATTTGGGGATATTTAACATATTTCTTACCTCTATTGTAAAAGGTAAAATGCTTCTGGTGATATAGATAATGTTGTTTTTGTTCTGCTTTTTTCTCTTAAACAGTGTATTAAAAAAGTTATCCTGGGTTTGTCTGTCTATGGTGATATTCACTCATGCCTTAAAAACACTCCACAGAAATTGGGATTGGGAGTCTGAATATACATTGTTTATGTCAGCCTTGAAGGTAAAGTATTACCCAGAATGACAGGAAAGTATGTCATTAATTATTTCTTATAGTCATGTTTAAGATGTTTTTACATTTAATTAGACATTTAACTGTCAATTTTAAGTACTTCACCAAAAGATTAATAAAAATTTGTTCTTTATATATATATATCATAACCAGGGCTCTGAATAGTACTTAGTTGTATGTCTACAGCATATATGAATAATTTTCTAAATACTATATAGTTGTTAGAAGCTCAAATGATAATAGAATGTTTAAGAATACTGTAGGGGAGCCTGGGTGGCTCAGTTGGTTAAGCATTGGACTTCGGCTCTGGTCATGATCTCACAGCTTATGAGTTGGAGCCCTGCATCAGGCTCTGTGCTCATAGCTCAGAGCCTGGATCCTGCTTCGGGTTCTGTGTCTCCCTCTTTACCTCTCCCCTGCTCAGGCTCTATCTCTCTTTCTCAAATATAAATAAACATTAAAAAAAAAAATTTAAGAATACTATATATAGTTCACTAGTTCTAAAGGTGCACTTTTTCTTTTTTCTTTTTTTTTTTTTATTTTTACCTTTTAACATCTCTAAAATCAGAATAAATCTTAGAGTGAGAGGCATCTTAACAATTTGTGGCTTATTTTTTTCTTTTTTTTTTTTTTTTAATTTTTTTTTTAAATGTTTATTTTTGAGAGAGAGAGACAGAGCAGGAGCAGGGGAGGGGCAGGGAGAGAAGGAGACACAGAATCCAAAGCAGGCTCCAGTCTCTGAACTGTCAGCACAGAGCCTGAAGCAGGGCTTGAACTCACCAGCCGTGAGATCATTACCTGAGCCAAAGTTGGATGCTTAACCCACCGAGCCACCCAGGCGCCCCTAGTGGCTTATTTTTTTCTTAATGGTGAGTCTTAGAAATGATAGCATCTTAGATTCAATGAAATAAAATACATAACAAAAGTGGCACTTTACTATGTGGAAGATAACCGGTGGTTACAGTATGGTAGTTAAGATACGCACTGGCAGGAAGGAGTGATAAAGCATTTCTGTAGAATGGACAACATCTAGGAATAAGGTCTTTTTAAAAATCATAAAATTTGGTTTCTGTAAAAGTTAAAACCAATGATTTTGTTTTTCAGGTGCTTCTCTTCAAATCTGTAAATTCTTAAATTCTTTTTGACTATTTCTGTACTCCCATTGCCTGGCTTTACTAGAATACTGCTTCATTCCAGTAGTCAATGTCATTTCTTGATTTGACATCAGTTTAAGATCACATGACTATCATTTAGTCTCAGTAGCTCCACTCTTTCCTCTAGCTCAGAAGTTTATAAATAGAAGAGACCTCATTACCATTCCTCTTAATCTGCACTCCTAAAATACCAGTGGAGCCCCATAATTTTCAAGATTTTTGCTTATCCTTACTACTAGGACAATCTCAAAACCACAGTCCTAGTCACTGAAGCTAGTTCCTTGGCCAGCTACCATCCTCTTCCTGCAGGAACACCATGCCCATCAGTGAACTCTGAAAACACAGATCAACTTAGAACTTTAATCCCGGGGCTCCCATTACCATAATAGACCACATAAACAGCTTTATAATAAGCCTAAAAAATAAATAGTGAAGTGTTAAATATATTCTCATGTTCAAATACCTTCTCTTCCAAAAGAATATAAATAGAGCAGCTTTCAAACAACATTATAGCTTGTTTTTTGGTTTTCTTTTTAGTAAGGTCTGTGTCCAATGTGGGACTTGAATTCACGGCCCTGAGATTAAGAGTCACATTCTCTACTGACTGAGCCAGCCAGCAGTCCAAGCTGCTTTGATCAAATAAAAGTTTTAGTAAAATTCTAATGTATAAAACAGATGAAATCAGACTGCTATGGTTTTAGTATGTTGATGTTAAAAGGAAGGAGAGTAAATTGGTGAAGCTGTGTTCATTTTGCTCATTTCTCCTCTCCAGGGACACCTCTGTCAAACACTCCATTTCTAATAATATACCAAACAAATATCTGTGTTGATTGGAGATATATATATATATTTAGATATAGATATAGATCCACAAGTTTTTCTTTTTTGGGAGAAAGTCTCAATTACTTTTTCAAGTTTTATTGAGGTATAATTGACATATAACTTTGTATTAGTTTAAGGTGTACGATGTAATTTATGGATATATTACAAAATAATTACTGCAACAAGTTAAAATCTGTCACGTATTTACAATTTTTCTCTTTTGATGAGAATTTTGAAGGTCTACTCTCAGAAACTTTCAAATATACAACATTGTTAACTATAATCACCATGCTATACCTTGCATCCATAGAACTTATTTATCTTGTAACTGAAAGTTTGGATCTTTGACCACCTTCACCCATTCGTGGATATCTCTGTAGAATACTCCATTCCTAATGGTATACCAGATAAATATCTGTGTTAATTGGAGTTGTATTTTCTTAATTGTAACTAATTTCTATCTATGCTTATGTATTTAAGGTAAATAAAAATAATGCCAAATTATGGAATAATGTGGGTCATGCTCTGGAAAATGAAAAGAACTTTGAGAGAGCTTTGAAATACTTCTTACAGGCTACTCATGTTCAGCCAGGTAAGCATTATTAATTAATAAAACTATTTGGATAGCTTGTTTTTAAAACTTGAATTATATTTGGGAAAATAAAAGTAAGAGGTTTGTTCATTCCAGGTGACTTGAAAACTATAGTGCTCGATGATGGCTTATTTTGAGTTGGATTATATGTTAGAGCTACTTAGACATTTAAGGAATTTATTTTGATATAGCAGAGTTATTGGGTGGTACTGATAATCAATTTGGTGAAGTATAGCTTTGCCAGGTACAAGTACTTGGTGTTAAAATAATTTTTCCCCTCATTGTCAGTTGTCACTGTTTGCCTTTCTTGAGATAATTGCTGATACTTCCATTAGTATGACTTCTCTACAATATTCTCAAAATTGCTGTTTCTAATTAGCCATGGGCTAAGAAAATAGGTAAACCAGTTTATTTGGGATTCTTTCTCTTCCTCTCTTTGTCCCTCCCCTCTATGTACGTAAAGTACTTGAAAAAGTACATAAAGTTAGAAACATTGAATTTGGTATTTAGAGGCATCCTAGCTTTTTCTTTGTTTTTTAGTTGTGATCTTCATAGATTTGATAGATGAAATGGCATATATGGAGGGACATCAAGAGTCCTTTTTTGTCAGTGTTACACATACACAGATTCATAAGACTGGAGATAAGTGATACTGAGACTAGAGGTAAAAATTTGGGGTAACAAGTATCTAGATATTTAAAACCTTGGAACAGTTGAGCACATAAATAGGGATTCATAACATTTTAAAATTACTTTAAAAAAATAAATGAAACATTGAGTCTGAAGGCTTTTCTTGCTTAACCAGAGTAAGATTATAAATTATGCAGTGGTCTGAGAAGGTGACACACATGTTGTGTTAAACGAAGAATTGTGGTTTTTTTGTTTTGATGGTTACCAGTGTTTAAAAAAAATTTTTTCAATTCACAAAGATAAAATTTTTACAAATGGAATTGCAGTTTCCATAAACATCTTTACAAGACAAGGATAGATTTTTGTCAAGGAACACCAGAATTCTATAAGGTTTGTTTTGATTTCATTTTTATCTAAGTCCAAATCTTTGAAATTATTCATGCGAGAAAAAAATCATGGACCTGTAGTTCAACTTTGATGTTGTCAATATGGAAATGTTTAAAGAGTATTTATGAGTTTTCAGGTGTTTTTAAGTTTATCTCTTTAGATGAATTGACAGATAATTTTGTAGATAGGAAATACTGGAAAGCAACATAGATGCCAGGGCCACCAGTGTGAGATTGCTTAGCTTCATTGTTGGTGGAAAAGGAATTATTAGGTACAAAGTTGCCTAGTACTTGTCAGTTCTCATTTACATTGAATTAAAGATAGACTGCTAGATTCATGCTATTGTTGGTTTGGATAGCACACTCATAATAGCAGGACTGTCTGTTGAAATCCTATAGCTTTTTAAAAGTCATTTAAATGTCATTGCTTTTTATATCTTGTCTTCTTTTCCAACCCTTTTTGTTTGTTTTCAAATTTAAATTTACTTTACTCTAGTAATGGTTATTTCCTTCTCTGAAATCTTAAAACTCTGTTAACTTATAAGAAACTGCTTAGAAATTTTGTCTTTCATTTTATCAGCTTTCTTGTAGGATATCTAATTGCTACCATAGTTCTTTGAGAAAGTAGGGCTGCCTTACTCTAGTGTCTGAAGTCTGCGTTGATGACAATATCTCCTTGCCATAATTTTAAGAACCTGATTTCCGTGGGTATTAATTTGCCTTGTCTTTCATCCAAGTAGGTAACCTCTTTCTTTTCTTTTATTAAAAAAAATTTTTTTTAATGTTTATTTTTGATACAGAAGGTAGAGTGTGAAAGGGGTAAGTGCAGAGAGAGAGAGGGAGACCACAGAATCTGAAGCAGACTCCAGGCTCTGAGCTGTCAGTACAGAACCCAATGTGGGGTTTGAATCCATGAGCCATGAGATTATGACTTGAGCCAAAGTCAGACGCTTAACCGACTGAGCCACCCAGGCGCCCCAACATATTTCCTTTCTACGATTGGAGCTGATGTCAATAACATTGTAAATACTTCACTGAATTTTGTTTATCTAAACTACCAGTTTCTTTGTTCTTTCCTTAAATTCTCACTTTATAATTAATTTTTTTCAGGTTCTTAGTAACTTAGTTTTTCTAAGTAACTTTCTGATCTCTATAATAAATGGTATAGATTTGAGGAGCCTGAGTGGCCCAGTCAGTTAAGCATCTGACTTCGGCTCAGGTCATGATCTCATGGTCCATTAGTTCCAGCCCTGCTTCGGGCTCTGTGCTGATAGCTCAGAGCCTGGGGCCTGCTTTGGATTCTGGGTCTCCCTCTTTCTCTGCCCCTCCCCTGCTCAGGCTCTTTCTCTCTCTCTCTCTCTCAAAAATAAATATTAAAAAAAAAAAAAAAGAATTAAAAAAATAAAAACTTTAAAAAATTAAAAATACGTAAAAATAAATGATATAGATTTATTTGAAATTAAAAAAAATGAGCTATATAAGAGCAAATACTACCTACTCTATTTTTATATGCTCTTGGTAATGCAGTGAATTTCAACCTTGGTTCTACATCAGAACCTTCTTTGAAACCTTATAAAAACATTTTCCCAGATCATGTTTCTATAGATTCTATTTTGATAGAGTGAGGTGGTGCTGAGGTTATCTGACTTTTTGAAAGTACATAGGTATCCTAATTTGCAGCCAGGACTGGGAATGGTTTGCCTAAGCAATTTTTTTTCTTTTTTTTTTTATTTCCCTCTTGACCTCTCCTGAAACCCCTTAAGACTCATTGGGGCGCCTGGGTGGCTCGGTTGGTTGAGCGCCCGACTTCAGCTCAGGTCATGATCTCACCGTTAGTGAGTTCAAGCCCTGCGTCGAGCTCTGTGCTGACAGCTCAGAGCCCGGAGCCTGCTTGGGATTCTGTGTCTCCCTCTCTCTCTGACCCTCCCCTGTTCATGCTCTGTCTCGCTCTGTCTCAAAAATAAATAAACGTTAAATTTTTTTTTTTTAAAGACTCAGCAGTACATCAAAAAACAAAAAATCAGCCCTTTCCTCCCAATCTTGTCCCTTACTTCTTTAACCAAACCTGTGCTGCATATGACATTTTCTGTGCAGTGTGCACAATTACCAGCCTGAAACATAATGTACCAAGATTTTAGGACTGTTTACTGTCGTCCTAAGAGAATGACTAAGATATATATGCTTGGCCCCTATGTGTCCTAGGAGGTGCAGGCAGAAAACTATTCAGCAGGCAAAATCATTGGTGTCATAGGCAAGTAGAAATCATAATGTGAAACCTTGTCATGTCTGCGAGAGATTCATCCAATAACATTTGTCTGATTTAAGATCTTCTCTCTTCTATCTTTATTCCAAACCTTTGAAATATTTACTGCGAAATGTGTCCTAAAAGTAGGATGCAGTGGGCCCTAATATCTTTCTTATTTAAATAACATATTTTTTGTTTCTCTGAAAAATTTGCTGTGGGTTTGATTCTCCATACCAGAAAATCAGAGAAAAGTTTCTGACATACTGATAGTAACACAGCCTTTTAAAAAGTTATAAATCTGTTATGTAGGATGGGCTGCTGCATCTTAAGTGGTACTGGAGAATCCTAATATTTTATTACACTTGCATTCTGACCACATTCAGAAAAATTTTAAAAAACAAAATTGCAGAGTTTTTTCACAGTCTCATTGCCCCATCCCACCATGCATGTATATTTGTTATAACACTCGAAATAATTCTAGGAATCATGATCTTTTTCACTTGTAGATCTTTTTACTTTTAGAGTTGAGCCATACATTTTGAGTGAATTCCAGAGCTATGCATCAAGGAAATGGAAACAAGCCTTAGTATAGTATAGAAAAATCTGAAGAGAAATGATACAGATTTCTTTATTACCTCTATATCTCCCCTTTCATGTCATATATGCAGTTTCTGTCCTTAGAGTACTTTATGACATAATTTTCTAGTATAGCATCGATCATTCTGTGCTAGAAGAACTTTAAGGAGGATGCAGGACCTGTTGCTTGCTTTTGTATTTTTTTGCCTAGTGTTTTGTTGCTAGAAACTTTGGGTTTACATTGAATACTATTTAGTATATTTGCCAACAAATGATTTTTTTTTTAATTTTAGATGATATTGGTGCTCACATGAATGTAGGAAGAACTTATAAAAATTTAAATAGAACCAAAGAAGCTGAAGAATCTTACATGATGGCTAAGTCCCTGATGCCCCAAGTAAGTTGTCATAATTTATTTCTATTGTGTCATATCTACTAGATGTCCATATTGAATAGAATTACCTAGATTATCTTTTCTTCAATTTGTTGATACAAATGTAAAGTGTCCAATAAACCATTTATTACTACAAGTTTTTATTTAAATTCTAATTAACATATAGTGTGATAATAGTTTCAGGTGTACAATATAGTGATTCAACACTTTCATACAAGTGCACTCTTTAATCCCCATTCCCTATTTCACCCATCTCCCCGCCAATCTTCCCTCTGGTAGCCATCAGTTTATTCTCTATATTTAGGAGTTTGTTTCTTGTTTTACCTCTCTTTCTCCTTTGGTTGCTTGTTTCTTAAATTCCACATGAGTGAAATCATATAGTATTTGTCTTTCTCTGACTTATTTTGCTGAGCACAGTACTACAAATTTTATAAAGGATTATATTTACTTTTCTAGCTCACTTAATTAAAAAAAAATTTCTAGGAGAGCTTGGGTCGCTCAGTTGGTTAACCATCCAACTCTTGAGTTCAGCTCAGGTCGTGATCTCACAGTTGGTGAGTTCGAGCCCCGCATTGGACTCTGTGCCTGATAGTGTAGAACCTACTTGCACTTCTCTCTTTCCGCCCCTCCCACATGCTTGTGTGCATACACTCGCTCTCTCAAAAATAAATAAATAAATTTTAAAAAGGCAAAGATTAAACTTATGTTTGTAAAAAATGTTATAAAGTTATGAATTTTAGATATTCTTGATTATAAGTTATCAATGAGTTAAGTAACTTTAAGTGAAGAGATTTTTATATAGTACATTAAGCACTAAATGCAACATTATTCCTATCAAAAGATAAATGAATAAAAAACTAATAAAATGAGGGGATACACCTCTGTTGCTGTATTGTGTTCAGTTGTAACAATGACACATGCAGAAAATTCATTGGATATTATAATATAGCATGAAAGTTGGAAAGTCAGATCCTGTCTTTCATCAGAAAAGATAGTTTGCAGGGCACCTGGGTGGCTCAGTTGGTTAAGTGTCAGACTTTGGCTCAGGTCATGATCTTGTGGTTTATGAGTGAGTTCAAGCCCCATGTCAGGCTCTATGCTGACAGTTCAGAGCCTAGAGCCTGCTATGGATGCTGTGTCTCCCTCCGTCACTGCCCTTCCCCCACTGGTGCACGCTCTCTCTTTCTGTCTTTCTCTTTCTCTCTCTCTCAAAAATAAACATTAAAAAAAAACTGCACTACAGTCTTCTCAATGGTAGTATATATTAATATATTAACAATTATAATATTAAAATAATTAGATATAGTTTGATAAATGTTTCAAAAACAGTTGGACCACATGATCTTAAGCATTGTTTCAGTCCTAAGATTCTAAAGTTATATTGTGTTCAATATAGACTTTTTTCAGATATAATTTATTACTGTCATTGAAAATTTGTGTCTATATATCTTTTATAATCTTTACTTAACCTGAATAATCAGTTAACAAGGGAATTTTATTTCCTAATTCTACCAAATAAGGCTTTAGTATAACTCTTAACAAATTAACCACCCTGTCACAACCAGGAAGTACTTTGCTGACAACATGGAGGCTGACATGCTGTAACAAATACACTAGACTGAGAGGAAAGAGACCCAAGTTCTTTCTATTCCTTGTCTGATACAAATATGCTAACAGACCTTAGTCTCAAAAGTTTAAATTTAGTTAGGATTTTATAAAATGATGCATGTAAATTAAAAGCTAACAATATTCCATTGAGCTGGCATGAGTGAAAAAATATTATCTCCTTTAATACCACAAAATATTAATTATTTTATTAACATTTTATAAATACTGTAGGTACTTTCACGTTTTTATGACTTATTTCAGTATAGCAATACAAACTGGTACCATAACCTTTTTATGTCATATATATTTGAAGTAAGCTACTAAGAATACTTATTTTTTATTTTTATGTGGTACTGAAACATCCAATTATGTTTTTCTGAACAGATTATTCCTGGTAAAAAATATGCAGCCAGAATTGCCCCTAACCACCTAAATGTTTATATTAATCTGGCCAATCTGATCAGAGCAAATGAGTCCCGGCTGGAAGAAGCAGATCAGCTGTACCGGCAAGCAATAAGCATGAGACCCGACTTCAAGCAGGCTTATATTAGCAGGTATTTGTAGTTCACTTTTAAGTTGTATTACAGAGAATTGAAGCTGTATCTGCATGTACATTTTGACTGTCTGAACTAAATTGCCTTTTTTTTTCTTTTAGTAATCTTATTTGGCAACCAAGAACATAGAAACATACCCTAGTTTAGACTTACAATCAAATTTAATTGATTTGATTTGAAATTGACTGTCACTTGTAGTAGCAAACTAAGGTTTTATACGGAAGAAAGAGTAGAAGCTTCTTGTTAGTTTCATTTACTTCTTATTGTCACATTCTTTTTTACTTAAAGCACTTGAAACTTGTATTTTCTAATAATTATTTCTTTTTTTTTTTTTTATTTTTTTTTTCAACGTTTATTTATTTTTGGGACAGAGAGAGACAGAGCATGAATGGGGGAGGGGCAGAGAGAGAGGGAGACACAGAATCGGAAACAGGCTCCAGGTTCTGAGCCATCAGCCCAGAGCCCGACGCGGGGCTCGAACTCACGGACCGCGAGATTGTGACCTGGCTGAAGTCGGACGCTTAACCGACTGCGCCACCCAGGCGCCCCACTAATAATTATTTCTAATATCCAACTCTCAAGAGCTTTCTTAAATACTGACAACTGATTGGTTATTATGCCTTTTATTTATCACAAAGAAACTTTTTAGTTGTCAGTACAAAAACTTTTGGCCGCACATGTTAGAGAGAACTTAATATATTTTACCATGTAAGGATTATCATTTGTATTATACTTGGGTAAAATTGTATATTAAACTCTGCTTCATCCGCTGGCCCAGAAACCTAATCATAGTTTTTAACATTGTTCTTATGGGGAAAATGCATTCAGAATTTCATTAGTTTTTGAGATAAAATCTGTTCATAAGTTGGGAGGCTGTCTTTGTTCAGTTTTATCCAGTAGTTGTTGAAATTAGCTAAGTTTAGTGGGGTTGCATATATAAATAGAATCTGTCATGTGTTAATCTATGAAGAATTATTCAACGATCTGCATTAAAAAATAACATCTTGGGCAGATGCTCTTTCTAGAAGTTGCTTTAATTGAGAATATTAGTCATTCATTTGATTTCATACCTATGCTTATACTTAAAGGAAATAATGGTATCATAATAAAAGTATTCTCATATTACTGCCTAAATGTATTTGCACACATGTGCTTAAACAAAATCTTTTTAAAGCTCTAACAGATAATAGATCCGTATTAGAAGGATTTGTAAAATGGTTTTCAAACTGTGATCTTCCGTTCCACATGTGTTCCTCAAAGGTACCTGCAGGTGGCACTAGTACCCTCCTACCCTGCCTACTAGTCAGCTTTTTTAAAAACTTTTTTTGTTGTTTTGGGGAGTTTTTTCTTTCGTTTTAATGAATGGCCATTTTATAAGAATACATTGTAGAATACTAAATTAATATAAGAAGGGGCAAAATTTTCAGTCTGCTCTTTATAAACGAGACTTCTAACATAGATTTGAATACTGGAATTTCCCCATCACTACCATATTTATTTTCCTTCTTCAAATGCTATTACTTGGTCCCCTGAAAACTTAATCTCCAGTTCTTGTTGCTGCCAATTTTATGATGTAGTCTGGTCTGCCTTCTTTCAAGATACAATTAAAGAATATATTTTCTCTGTTACCCTTTCTTGGATACCTCCCCGCATCTTACCCTTTAAAGTCAGGTATGCTGTTTCTTTCTTTAATTATACTTGAGAACCTAACAAACCAAATTTGCTAAACTAATGAGTTCAGGTTTGAGGACATTTTCAGATATTTTTGGTAGAAAACTTTAAAAGCCTGGGTTAAAAGGAAAAAGGAAAGCTGTGAATATGTGGAAAAAGTTGAAACTTACAAAAAATAGTATCTACACATTGACATGGTAATGTTGTAAGTAAAGCTTGTGTTTGATTTTTCCACAGAGGAGAATTGCTTTTAAAAATGAATAAACCTCTTAAGGCAAAAGAAGCATATCTTAAAGCACTAGAGCTGGACAGAAATAATGCAGATCTTTGGTACAACTTGGCGATTGTTCATATTGAACTTAAAGAACCAAATGAAGCCCTAAAAAATTTTAATCGTGCTTTAGAATTAAATCCAAAGCATAAGCTAGCATTATTCAATTCTGCTATATTAATGCAAGAATCAGGTATGTTTTCTTAAAACAGTTCTATATTTAAACACATTGTAGTTTGAAGTATAATGAAATCTGAACTTAAATTACATTATGAGTAGCAAACGTTTTATGAATAGTTTATATCAAAACTGCAGATAAATATAAGAATATTTAAAATGCTTGAAGTAAAGTTTTCAAGTAATATGCCTTAACACAATTATTAGTTCTTTGGGTATATGTTAAGACTTAATATTCAAGCAGTCTATTAAGCAGTGCCTTTTTAATCTATTTTGTCAATTTTATGCACAGAAATATATAATTTCTTACCCCTAAATATACCACCCAAATAATCAGAACTTGCAAAAATTCTTATATAATTATTTCTAGGAAGATGAGCATTATATTTCTATTTATTTTAGAAAAAAAACAGAACAATGTATTTTACCTTGATTTGTAAGAGCAAGTACTTTTGGTATCATTTTATATCTAGTTTTATTTTCTGACGTATTATTGTAATTTACTATTTTTTGTAATTTAACAAAACTAAATCATTCATGACAGTAAATCAGGATCTTTGATACATGGGTATTTTAGTAGTACAACAAAAGGCAGTATTTATAATTTATAATCTTAATTTTTAATTTGGAAAAAATTTGTACATTTAGATTTTTGTAGTTTAATCTTAGATACTTTTTAAAAACTTTTACAAAAAATGAAAGAATCATAAAATCATAGTATTTGAGTTAAAGAGGGTATTTGAATTTACTTTTGCCATTGTTCTATTTAGTATATTAGAGTAAGGACCAAATAGATCTCATAACTACCCCAAATGTCATATGGCTAGTTTAGTAAAACTAGTTCAAGATAAGAACTTAAGCTGACTGATTTATTTTACAATGTTTTTTATTCATCTTACTGTCAAATAAAAGTATAGAGGGAGATATTTATGCCTGGTATTCAAAACATAAATTTAGAGAAAAGCTAATGTTTTTGTAAAGTTAGCTAACCTTGGCAATCATGAAAAATGCCCAGTATTCAACACAAGATTGCACCCTAAGATTTGTAGCTGTGGAACTTGAAGTTTTTCTGTTTATTTGCAATAGAAATTATCTCAAATATTTGCATCCTAATTTATATTTAAATTTATAAGCTTTATATTTAATGGTATATTTTTACCTTTGAAAATCTTGAAAAAATTGAAGTAATTAAAAATCTGATTTTGTAAGACTGAAACATTCTGTTTATCCAGTAGTAGTTACTATTTGCTGAGCTGTTTTACATATATCCCATGTAATGCCTAGAAAATTCAGCAGGCTAACCCAGAGAAGTTATTTGTTTAATGTATAAAGTCATAGTGTTAATAGAGTCAAGATTAGAATACATGTCATTTTTGGCAAATCCCAGGCCTCTTCCCCCTAATTGTGTTTTCTTCCTCTGCTACTACCAGTTAGATTCTTAACTAAGGAGGTATGTCATCCCTTCTGATTTTTGAGACACTCTTTCTGCTTTAAAGGAAAAGAAATAGGCTATCATTTCAGTGTTTCAAACACAACTGTCTTTCCTGTGAAAACTTTGGGTTTTTTTCATTCCACTTTTTGATATAGGTACAGAAATTAGTTGTTTTGATGCTGTCTTTTTGTAATCTTAACTAGATAAATACTGAAAGTGGCTTTTGTTCCTCAGGCTTATTAATTCATTTGTTAACAATATGTATTTTTTCTTTAAAAAAATTATTCTTAGGTGAGGTTAAACTTAGACCTGAAGCTAGAAAACGCCTTCTTAGCTACATAAATGAAGAGCCACAAGATGCTAATGGTTATTTCAATTTGGGAATGCTTGCCATGGATGACAAAAAGGACAGTGAAGCAGAGATGTGGATGAAGAAAGCCATAAAATTGCAAGCCGATTTTAGAAGTGCTTTGTTTAATCTGGCTCTCCTGTATTCTCAGACTGCAAAGGAATTAATGGCTTTGCCAATTTTGGAAGAGTTACTCAGATACTATCCTGATCATATCAAGGGTCTCATTTTAAAGGGAGACATTCTGATGAATCAAAAGAAAGATATACTTGGAGCAAAAAAATGTTTTGAAAAAATTTTGGAGATGGATCCAAACAATGTGCAAGGAAAACACAATCTTTGTGTTGTTTATTTTGAAGAGAAGGACTTACTAAAAGCTGAAAGATGCCTGGTTGAAACATTGGCATTAGCACCACATGAAGAATATATTCAACGCCATTTGAATATAGTCAGGGATAAAATATCCTCATCTAGTTTTGCAGAACAGCCAGTATCCCCAGCTGGTAAGACTTCAGGTGTAGAAGGAGACAAAATTCCAACTGAAAGTGTAAAAGAAGTAAGAAGTGAACCCAGACCTACACAGATCATAAAACCAAGTGAAAATAAAAGTCAGTCTAAGTCCAACAAACTATTAGGAAAAAGTACAGACAAAGAGACACCCCATAAAACAACAAAAGAAATCAAAGAAATTGAGAAAAAAAGAGTTGCTGCTTTAAAAAGACTAGAAGAGATTGAACGTATTTTAAATGGTGAATAGCATTATTTATCATGTGACAATGTCTTCAAAGAACTTCAGTCTATCTTATGTGATTGTTTATACTGGGAGCTTTGAAAAAACAACAAGTGTACATGTGACAGTCTATCATGAGCTGCCTCTACATAGGATCAAAATACGATTTTCATTAAATACCTGTGTTACTCCAGGGTATGTATTGTATAAGATATGACAGTAGTTCTGAGTTTTGGCAAATATAGCAGAAATACTAAATTACAGTTGGCAAATTTGTATCTTTTATGTAGAAGAATCTACCTGCAGAGTAATCTTGACTACTCTCAAAAATAATCTAAAGCCTGAATGATAAACCCTTGGGGGCAGATTCAACATATGCTAGTTTATTCTATGAATTTGCATTTATTAGTTGACTTCATTACCTTCTGTTACCTTTGGAATCTGACTATGGATTGAAAACACTTAATGAACACATTCTTTTTTCTTTGGTAACTTCTGTTTAACAAAGGAACTTGGCACCACAAAAGAATACTGGCTTCTTTTACGTTATGTTCTTTGGTTGATTTTTAGAAGGACTGCCAGGTAAAACTTTTTAAAATAAGTCCAATGACATGTTAGTTTAAGAATGTATTTTTCATAATTGTGTGCTTGTCCTTAACTTTACTCTGAAATGCAATTTTTAATCAGGTAAAGTTTTAAATACACACATTTCTAATGGTGCTCATATATACTGTATTTTTATTTTTTTACATACTGAGAGTTTCACAGCATGAACCCCACATAAATCATAGCTATCTTTGATTTTTTTACTCCCCAAACTGTTCAGGTTTATTAGAGTCTAGTCAGATTGAAAAAGTTCCAATAATTATAACTTCATTAAACTTTTGAGTTAAAACATAGTAAGATTCTCTTTCACCTTAGTGTTTTCTCTCTAGTGTTATTTGAATTTTAATTGTTCCAAAAGCATACTTAATCATTCTTAGATACTTTAAGCAACTAAATTGAGTTCTTTATTTAACTGAAGGCAAAACAATGTGACAAAGTTTTATTTTTAAACACTAAGTTCTTGATATCTTCCTATGGTGTATATTTTTATTAAATATTTATTTTGACTACTGAGCTTTCATAAAAAATTTAAAGCTGTTTTAATTCCATCAACTATGGAAAACAAATTGCTGTTGCATTTTCCTATAAATGCATATATTACAGTTTAACCAAAATTTCATCGTCTTTGGCATACTTTCCAGCTATAAAAGGTAGTTAGCCTCATATAGGATTAATAGTTAATTTTAGCAAATTTAAACCTGAAAACTGTTAGGTTGAAGAGTAGATATAAATCAAATTTATTAATTTATATCTGATTTTTTGAGTTAAAATACATTTCAAATGAGTTTTACAGTATCGAATAAAGTTGGTTTTAATTTAAAATGTTAAAGCTCAAGCTATCATCCTGAGATAGTAACTGATTTCTAATTATATAGAATTTAAAAAACTGTATTTCTGTTCCTCTGAGATAACTAAATTGTTTCAAAAATCATTACTGTAAGTTTTTATAAAGAAATATTTTCTAAATAGGTCACAAGAAACATAGTCTAGGGGCGCCTGGGTGGCGCAGTCCGTTAAGCGTCCGACTTCAGCCAGGTCACGATCTCGCGGTCGGTGAGTTCGAGCCCCGCGTCGGGCTCTGGGCTGATGGCTCAGAGCCTGGAGCCTGTTTCCGATTCTGTGTCTCCCTCTCTCTCTGCCCCTCCCCCGTTCATGCTCTGTCTCTCTCTGTCCCAAAAATAAATAAACGTTGAAAAAAAAAATTTTTTTAAAAAAGAAACATAGTCTACATTAAAGACCCACTCTTACTAGCTTCCCTGAGGTTGTGTCATAGATTATTTTTTAGGCAATTTAAATCAAGCACTGACACCAATCATAGTTCATTTTTGATTTAGGAGATTCTATTCAGGATTTAAAGCAATACCCAGTTTCAGTTTTTAAATTATGGATTTGTGACTCCAGGTATAAGATGGAGAATACCTCATATACTATGACTTGAAAAACAAAATCTATGTTAATCTTATGTTCTCTCCATGTATCTTGAGAAAAAGTTTCTGAGTTTGATCTCTTCTGTTATAGTATCAAACAAAGATAATTCAGAAAAGTAAAGAGAATCTTTCATGACAGCAGATTATAATAAGAGCTTTGAGTAATATTTTAATAAAATTGTATAACTATTGAAAAGATAAAAAATATATTGTTATTCAATGATTTTTGTAGAAAAAAAGAATTTCCTCCTTATTTGCACTTAGAACAATGCCTATCATGTAGGAAGTGCTCATGTATTTGAGTTTTAAATAATTTATTTAAGTCAAATCCACCCTGAATAATTAATGATTTTTCCAAATTAATGTTTCAACCCTCACTTCATATTAGAATCATCTGGAGGGCTCTTAAATATGAATCCCACCCCACAACAATTTAATCTGAATTTCTTAGGTAGGGGGCCATGCTTCTATTTTTCTTAAAGTTCTCAGGTTCTAATTTGTAGTCAGGGTTAATGACCACTGCTCAAAATTAGTTCAGGAAATTCTAAATTAGTTCAAGAAAATCCTCTTTATCTCTTCTGTGTTAACTTTTTAATTTAGTAACATAACCCGGTAAGTTTTGATGTTTTAATAATTATGCTCTTCTGATAACTAGTATTTATTTCATCTTAAGTACCGTCAAGCTTGCTTATGTGTAAGGTGATTATTCTCTTTAAACTCATAGTAGAAATTTTATTGAAGCTGTTCAAGTGAAAAAAGGTAATAGATTTTTTCCCACCTCTTTGGAACTGCCTTTATGGGGATATGGATGGTTAGGGGCATTTTAGTCCAGTTCACTAACCTATGGTTCATAGTTGTAGGCATCTGTATGTTTGGAAAAGAAAGCTTATCATAGGTCTGTGTGCTGGTAAAGCGATGTAGTTTTAGTTCTCACTGTTTTACAAAAGAATATATTCCCCCAGGAGTTCTAGGAAAGCTTTGACAATCCCGAAGGGGCAGTTATGTTACTTTTTCACTGCTTCTCAGAAGAAAGAATTACATTTTTCTCCAATTGCTCCTATGGTATTTCCTTGTTAACATTCAGAATTGGGAGGTTTATCTTGTAACTATACCAGTAAGTGATTTCATGAAGCTCATGACTTGGAGGATAAAACAAATATGTTTGCAATTTTGTGTTTACGTTTATGTAAATATTTAGTATGTGAATTACACAATTCTAATAAAACCTCATTGCGTTTTCATTATATCTAATTTGAGCTCTCAACTTCATGTTGCAGAATACTTCTTTGAAGATGCTTTAATGAGAACTATTATGAAAATATATAGATTTGTATGTCAGTTTCTACTTCAGAAATCCATATATTTGTCATATTTATTTTTTTAAAAACTTCCTAATTGTTTGCATGACTAAATGATATTTAAAATGAACCCCCCAAAATATCTGGTACCTTTGTCCAAAATTTTGTCTCTTGGAAGCTATCAGCCATCCATGTTAAGGGTTCATAAGAAAATAGTTTAATATTATATGCATTTTATATTATGGTGGTGTCTGTGTGTACCATATTTCTAAATATTCAGTATAAAATGCTTTTTAAAACCTTCACCTGAATTGCCTTTTAGTGTTCAAATGAGAAGTACAATAGTGTATCAACAGATTTCTGCCCCACAAAGACAGAAGAGCTGGTGGGTAGTTTTTATTAGCAGTGATATGAGAAAGATGTGTTAAATTGCTTCAAGAACAGTGATACATTTTTCAACCCTTAGTGACAGAAACTAAAGAAAATGAGACAAATTCAAATATGGAATTTTATACACATAAGTAGAAGTCAGTGTGGTGAAATAATTAGGAGTCTGAGTTATGGATCTGCCTGGATTCAAATCTTGGTACCACCCTTACTAATATAACTTAAAGGAATGTTTAACCTATATGTCCTTGGTTTACATTTATATAGGTTTAATATGTATATATCCTATTGTATAAACTGGCAGGTATTTTTGTAACTATAAATAATGCATGCTTAGCCATGTACATTGTAAATAGTCTTTACCAAACACTTTTGATAAGGACCATAATTAACATCACGTAGTAAATTGTGTTAAAGAAAAGCCATGATTTATTTGATGTAATTGGCTTAATTTTTTTTTCACGTAGTATCAACATGAATCTGTTTACAGCTGTAACCAACCAGTAGTACTGATCTGTCCATCCAGTGTTGTCTTTATTTTATTTGATTGTGGCTTGATAATATTTTATTAGATTGGGAAAACTAAAGAAACAGAATGGTTTTAGTTTTGCTAAAGACGGGCCTTATTAATGAACAGCTTTCCTAACAAGTGATTATTGACTTTTAGCGGGTGTTAACATCTGTTTCATAACATGGCAGTATGTTTATATGTCAGAAGTTTTATGACATTTCTAAGTTGATTTGTTGAAATAAATTCAGCAAGTGGAAAAATCTATATATTTATATTAAAAATATTAATATATTTAAATTGTTTAGGATAGTTCTTGGTATAGTAAATGATAGATGTTAATCATTAATGTAATCATAAGGCTTAGGTATGTAGTAAATAATAGATGTTAATCATTAATGTAATCACAAGGCTTAGGCTTGCATTTGATACATATGATTTGCTTTATGTGTTAGCAGAGATAATGTTAATGATGGTCGTATAGCAAACAGATTATTAGATATTTAATGCTGGTTCCTTAGCCAGCTAAGGAACTTGTTCTTTTGCTGTTCACTGCTTTTAGGAAGGTAGCATAAGATAAAATCTTTCCCAAAAGTCTCTGAAGACTTAATCTCAGGCAAATTCATGTTCTTTGGAACCCACTTTATTCAAAGTAACATTTCTGTGACTCTGCCAATGGATAGCATAATTCCCATCAAGTCGTGTTTTTATTGTATAGGAACCTGATGCCTTCAGTTTTTACCTTAAGCAAAATACTTCTCACCAAACCATTCTAGTTTTCCCTTTCTTAAAGACTTTAGTGGTTAAACTCTATTGTCCTTATTCCTTCCTTCCCCCATGGATTTAGTTTCTGATATTAGGAAAGTCATCTGATTAATCCATGTTAAACTACAAATGATAGGTCTTGTTAGTCATCTTAACAGTTAAATCAAGTGAACTTCTTTCTTTATAAAGTTGCAGGCAATACAGTGGGAGTTATTTGAGGGATATGGAGTTTCTCCACCATTCTGCCTATCTAAGCAAGGAATTGCGAAAGACCACAGAAAATCTTTGTAACTGCAAGAAGGCCACTTGTGACCAGAATCCTGTTTTTGATGGGCACTGGCAGGCCAGGTAACTGCCTTTTGGGAGTGGAATCAGAGTAATCAAACTGTCAGCAGAATTGGACTTAAGCTCAGTAGTGACATCTGTAAAACTAATTCCTGAGTAGTGAATATACAGATCTTACTTGATTTACGATGGGGTTACATACCAATAAACCCATTGAAGTTGAAAATATTGTAAGTTGAAAATGTTCTTAATACATCTAACTTCGTGAACATCATAGCTTAGCCTATGTTAAATGTTCTCAGAACAATTACATTAGCCACAATTGGGCAAAATCATCAGACACAAAGCCTGTTTTATAATAAAGTGTTGAATGTCTCATGTAATTATCGAATACTGTACTGAAAGTGAAAAACAATGGTTGTATGGGTATAGAACAGTTGTCAGTGTATTGATTATCTCATGGCTGGCTGATCCTGCCCACCACTGACTAGAGAGTATCATACTGCGTATCACTAGCCCAGGACAGGATCAAAATTCAAACTGAAATACAGTTTCTACTGAATGTATATCTCTTACACCATCATAAAGGCAAAAAATCATAAGTCAAACCGTTGTAAATTGGGAACCTTTTGTAGTGTGTACATTTTTAATACATGATCTCTTTATATGACACCGCAATTTCCCTTGGTGATGGATCTGCAGTGTCATTTGCAAGCTTTTTAATTTATACCTGTACCTTAAATACCCATGTTCTCTCTTCTACCCTTTTTATTTCCCTGTTTCCTTTGAGCAGTGGTTTCAGCTTTATAGGATTCCAAACCTCCAGCCTAGAGTTTCTCTAAACTTCAGGACCATGAACCCAGTGATCTATTAAACATCACATCCAGAGGTGTTCATTCCTCCCATCCTTTCTTCCAAACCCCATGCCTATTGGATAAGTTTAATAAAGAGAAACTAAAAGAAAAAGAAAGTATATCCAGTTTAAAGCAGGGAAGGAGGAGGTAGGGGAGAAACCAAAAGAACATGAGAGCTTACTAATGGTTTATTTACTCAAAAACGGTGGCAAAGTTTAAGACATCATTAAACATGATTATGGGGCTTAGGTTAAAAACAAATACTACAAATATACGAAAAATGTGTAACTTTTAATCCATCAGAAGAAAACTCACCGTAGCCCAATGGAATTTAGTAATGGGGCCAGGGCAAATGAAAGTGCAGTACAAAAAAGATGCTAAGATATAAAGGACTAATGTAGCAGTAATTCAAATGAATGTAAAATAAGTTAAACCTAACAAAAAAATAAGCTGTTAGAGTTCTCTTTTGTTTTCATTATATTCAACTAAGTTTTATATAATTACATTGAATTATAAATACAAGGTCCAACAACATGTTGTCCCTGAAACACTTTTATATAGAAGCAAAAGTATGAGAAAAAGCCTACCAGTAAATATGAACCAAAGCAAGCCAGGGTAACAATTTTAATACATGACAAAACAAAATTCAAGGCCAAAAGAGAAGAGAAAATGAATGATGCATACTAGTAAAAGGAACAATGTAACAAGACATGTCCATCATAAACACATACATCAACAATATAATCTAAAAATAAGCAACAGCGAGTAATAGTACAGGGAAATAAATCAGAAATTGTAACTAGAGATTTTAAGGAGTAATAGTACAGGGAAATCAGAAATTGTAACTAGAGATTTTAACAAAATCCTCTGAGAAACTAAGGGGTCAAGCAGAGAAAAAAATAAGTGGATAAAGATCTAAATAACCTTGACCTATTAAATTTATATAGAATTTCACTTGACACAATATGCATTATTTCCTAGCACATAAGGAATCTTTACAAAACCACACTATGTATCAGACCATAAAGGAAACCTCAGTAAATTCCAAGACTGTGCTCTTTGATCATAATGCAAATGTTCATAGTAGCTTTATTCATGGTAACAAAACTGGAAACAGCCCAAATGCTCATCAGATAAATGGATAAACAAAGTGCAATCTATTCAAATGAAACACTCTTCAGCAATTAAAAAAAAAAAATTGTATCTCTGAGCAGAAAGAAGCCATATACAAGAGTACATCATTTATGATTTCATTTATATGCAATTCCAGAGAGGACTATTTGTAAATTTCTAGTACTAAAGTATGGGTCAGGAGCGAAGGAAGCCAAAGGAATTTTTTAGGGTGATACAAATATTCATGACCCAGCAATTCTACTCTGAGGTGTACTGACAAAAATATACCTACACATGCTCTACAAGATACAAGAATAATCTTGGGATTAACTGTGCAAGCTCCAACCTTGAAATAACCAAAATACTCATGAAAAACAGACAAGATATTTATGATATAGTCATACAATGAAATGCTAAGAATATATAATGAATATGCATGAATCACTGCTACATGAAGCAGCATGGATGGGTCTCGCAAATATAATACTGGATAAAGCCAAACACAAAAGATACTACTATTACAATTCTATTAATATGAAACTCAAAACTGGCACGATGAATTTGTGCTGTTACAAGTCAGAATAGTGGTTCTGTTAGGAAGGAAAATAGAATGTTTATTGGAAAGGAATGTGAGGTGGGCATTGATGTTCTGGTCTGCTTCTTGGTCTGAGGGATATTTGCACAGATATGTTCAAGTTTTGGCAATTCATGATACATGCTTTTTTCCAGATGTATAATAAACCTCAAAAAGAAGTGTAATATTAAAAGATGTGTTAGGAATATGGAAAAATACAATAAAAATTTAGGTGAACCATTTATAAAAGAATTCTACAATCAGTTTAGTAATATCAAATACAGAGAATGACTGGAAGAATGTACCATAGAATATTTTTAAAACAGTTTTATTGAGATAATTGACATACAGTGAACTGTTCATATCTAAAGTGTACAATTGGTTAAGTTTGACCCTTATTATACACCTGTGAAACCATCACCATAATCATGATAGTGAACATATACACTTCTCAAAGTTTCTCATGCCCTGAGTAGTCCCTCCAGTCCCACTATTCCTTTCCAGCCCTGTCCCTAAAACAATTGATCTGCTTTATGCCTCTGTAGATTAGTTTACCTTTTCTACAGTTATATATAAGGGCATCATACGTTATTTGTCTGGCTTTCCACTCTTGCAATGGACTGAATGTTTGTGCCCCACCTACAAATTCATATGTTGTAGTCTGAACCCCTAATATAATCAGAGATGGAGCACTTGGGAGGTAATTAGGTTTAGATAAGTTCATAACAGTGGGGATGGGATGGGATTAGTGTTTTTATAAGAAGAGGGAGAGAGATCAGAGTTCTGTCTTCCCACTTGATAAGAACACAGCAAGACAAGACGGCAGCCATCTGCATGGCAAGGAGAGAGTTTTCACTGGACGTGAGTACCTGCTGGCTCTTTGTTGTCAGCCTCCCGAACTATCAGCAATAAATATCTGTTGTTTAAGCCACCCAGTCTGTGGCATTTTGTTATAGCAACCCAAGCTAAGACACACTAAAAAAAAATTTTAGACACATTCATCAATAGTTTATTAGCAAGTAATATTCCATTATATGGATATGCTATAGTCTTTATCCATTCATCAGTCGACTGGTCCAGTGGTTTTTATTTTCTCCTGTAGGCATTATGTATTTTTCAAATACAAATTTAAAAAAAAGTTTTAATTCTGTTATTTACACATTTTCTGACCGTCGATATTCAGTGTCCTCCACTTCTGCAAATGGCCATTTGGGGATTTAGTCCTTCCTCATAATAAGCCCATGTGTTTTTGGAGGTGTGGAGGCCAGAGCATATGACTCAGACTTGTCATTAAGCACTTGGTATTAATCCATCTACTATGATTCATTTAGGAATGAGAATGTAACCAGATCAAAGCCCATGAAATGACCCTTGATTTTGCTAACACTTCAATGACTTTAGAGAAAATGTGAGTTTAAAATTGTGACAACCATCTCACCATATGGAGAGATCTTATGTGAGAATATAGCCAGGACAAAGTAGTTGATTATAGAGACAAAAAGGTCACAGTGGATATTGTTAGAAACCTGGTCTAACTACATTTGGAAAGGCAATAAAGTAAACCAAAGTGGAAGAATCTTGAGCCATATTTGGTTGTGCCAGCTTTTGAGCAGGAACTATACTGTGTATGTTGTCTGGCCAAGCTCATGAGGTCCCATGGTGGGCAGTGCAGGTCTCTCAATCCCAGACTTGAAAAGAATTTTAATTAAGCATAAGCAAAATAACTGGTTAAATTGTCCACTCTGTGTCTTGTGCTGAACAAGACTACAGGACAAGGGAAATTGTTTTGAAAAATTCAGCAAAATAGAGTCATTAGTAATGTCAAACCAGAACGAGGAAGTTTTAAGCTGGATCTGTTCCATCTGAAAACAAATCAGAGAATATTGTTTTGTATGATGGTCCTTTACCTGCAGTCTGAAATCTGAGATAGCTGCAAGTATATTGACAGGGTTGGAAAAGCCAAGTTCTCTGCCCCAGGCTACTGTTGACTCAAGCAAAATCAGAGGTGGGACAACTTAGCAAGAATGGTAGTTGAGAAGAGATTCTAGTATCTCCAACTTCTCACACATATTTCCATTTAAGCAGTCATGGCCCAAGAAGGGGATAAATTACTCCCATTGGGAATATGCAGTCCAGGGGCACAGATACAAAACAAAACACATTCAGCCCAGGCCTAATGTCATTAGCAGTGCATTGTGGCTGTATTAGTTTCTTAGGGCTGCTATAACAGAGTACCAACTTGCACCAAAATACAAACTTGGATGGCTTAAAACAGAAATTTACTGTTTCACACTTCTGGAGGCTAAAGTCTAAAATCAAGGTGTTAGCAGTGTTGGTTCCTTCTGGAGGCATTGAAGGAGAATCTGTTCCATGACTTCTTCATAGCTTCTGACTATTGTCAACAATTCTTACATTCTTTGGTTTGTATATGTATCACTTGAATCTGCCTCCATTCACGTGGTATTCTCTCTGTGTCTATGTGTCTTCCTTTAAGGGCACCAGTAATACTGGATTTAGGGCCCACTCTAGTATGATCCCATCTTAACTAATTATATCTGCAATGACCCTGGTTGCAGATAAGGTCACATTCTGAGGTACCAAGAGTTAGGACTTCAACATATTTTTTAGGAGCACATAATTAAAGCCAAATAGTGGTCATAGTCAGTTTCTAGAAGACAGGAAATTGAAGGGTGATTTTCAGATTTAAACACTGATTCTTCATATCTCTCTTTGTTTACTACCCCATGCTATAGAGTGAATGAAAATAGATTAAAATTATATCAAGAGTTTAAATAAATTTTACTATTACAGAAATCTCATTCTTTACAAACAAGAGGCTAGG